CTGCACAAGAGCATCTGTCAAGCTTGTCTTATTACTGGGTCTCCTTTGGGGTGACCAGTATCATTAGCATTGCTTACAAAATTTGCTTCTTGGGTTTATAGGTGTGCCCATAGGCCAGATGCTAGCAGATGTTCTTTAATAAGCAGTCCATGACCTAGGTGTTATTAGCTGATAGTAATATAATTACCTGCCAAAAAGGAAATTATATATTTCAAATTTTATTTTCAAACATATAAAGGAGCTGCCTTATTTTAAAATTTTAATTAAATAGCCAACTAAGCAATTAAAAGTAGAATGTGCTCAGACCAATGATTGAAGTGTCATGAAAAGTTATAATTATTCTAGTATTGCACACTATCAAAAATATGATATATGTGTATTATATGTATATATAAGATCTATAATACATAGTTTTGTATTTTGTACACTTGTGTACACTCAACGAACAATAAAAATCAATTTCATAGTGATAATTACTGTAGAACAGAACTTAAAAAACCTTCCAGGACCATTTAAAATTATAATTAACTTAGTTCCCAGGGAGATAGCCATAGATGATTTTGTTTCCAGCTTAACACATGAGACTAAAATACAGGGTAAGATGTCTTATTGGACGTGAACTGTTAAGTCTTTTCAGACCAATTTATAAGGCCTGCCAAAAGGTTTCTTTGCAGTAAAGTTTGCCATCTACTGGTCACTATAAAAAGTTCTAGAATAGTGATCCTCAGACTTGGACTTTGAGCATGCAGCTGTAGCAGAACTCCTTCCAGGAGAATACCATGAGTAATCCTGTCATTCCAGTACCCAAAATCAGAAGGTGAACCAAGACAGGGAAAGGAAGGGAGGAGCACTGTAGCCCAACAGCTTGGCCTCCTGATCTTTCCAGAGACATGTCCCAGGGGCACTAAAAATAAAAATACTTTATATAATGACATAGGGAATTCTCTCTGTGTTTGCTACTTCACTTTTACTAATGCTGAAAAAATATATATATATATTTAATATAAATGTATGTGTTTTATACAAAATAAGATTACATTATGTTCAATTTACATCACATACTTTTATATAAATACGTACTGTTGGAAGTAAAAGCCAATTGGATCAGTTTTAAAGATACTGATCATTCAAGCATTAAATGCATGTATTGTGTGTATATGTGTAACTCAGTTTACTTGAAAAATTGTCATTTTAGTTATTTGGCTTAATCATAAGTTGAGGTATTTCACATATCTGTGAAACAGGCAAGTAAATTCTCTGATTAAAAAGTCATCAATGACTTTTCACATTCAGCCAGGCAGAATGAATCCCACCACGAAGGTGCCAAGAAGGGGCAGTCTGCCATCAAGGAGATAGTAACCAGTGCTTTCCTCACAGTCTTCAGTGTACCCATGCTCCTCTAGCACTAAAAGAGCTGGAAATTTGCATGAAGGAAATAGGCACTCCACATATGAGCACTGACACCAGGCTCAACAAAGCCGGGCCAAAGGAATAAGAATGTGGCACATCAGTAAATTGGTGGTGAGAAGTCCACAGGATTACAACTGAGATGAAAAAATGCACAAAATGAAGAATGATGTAAAATAAATATAATTTTTTTTTAAATAATGAGGATGAAGATTCCCTAGACAGGTTGTGCACGTTGGGTACTTACATACCTGTCACAATTTCCAAAAACCAACAAGTTATCAAGTTGCAAAAGAAAAAGATACCTCATCAATCAAGAATCTGAAGATTTTTCTCATGATTTTCTATTACCAATAAAAATAAATTTTATCAATTTTTTTGTTGTTGCTGTTAACTTGTCAACATTGTATTTTGACAATGTTGTATTAGCCAACCACAGGAGATTTGCCAGAAGAGGATATGCAGTGGTGAGGAGCCAAGTTCCTGAAATAAAACACACCTATGGGAGCCTTGCGCTGCCACTCGCCACCTGAGTTCCCTCATCAGCAATTACGAGTACAGTAGAACCCTGTTTGGGGGTTTTGTGGGGATTAACTGGCTAGATTTAAATGCTTGGCGCATATCTCCTAAGTTTTTAGTGAATGTTGGCTCATACTGGTACAAGATGTTTAGTGATAGTTTTGGGTTCCTAATAGAAATTTACTGGATTAAGACGAAAAAGAATTGCAATGTCCATGATAACCAAAGAAAAATAGTTCACTAATGCATTTTCTATGCAAGAATTTTATTTTAGAGAATAATACAACAAAATATTTGTGTAGAATCTTACCACTAAACCAAGGCAATCCACTAAAGACAGTCTCCATGAAGTACTAAACTTGCTAGAGATCAAAGATTAATGTGGATTAGATTTATTAAAGATCTGCTCTTTGGGATTTGCTTTTCATTAAAAAAAAAAAAA